GATTTGTAGCAATAAACAAGAAGAAAAAAACGTTCAGAAAAATTCCACGTATCCCATCCAAAATTGATTTTTTTCCTTTATAAATTTCACCGTCTTCTTTCTCTTGACTCAAACCGCGTGCAAAAAAAAAAAAATGGCTTTCACTTCGTTTCTCGATGAAAAATGTGAGGCTCGTTTTACTCGGAAAAGGGTATCTTTTTCCTCACAGCTGATCTTGGTTTAAATCTGGTTTTTTTTTTCTTTTTACAGAGAAAATAGGTCAACTTTGTTGGGTTTATTTAGTGCTGATGCCACTTGCTTTTGGGTTCGGTTTGAAGACTTTGAGTAAAGAGGATTCACATTCAGATGTTTACATTGTTACTCTTAAGCAAGCTCCCTCAGCTCATTACTTTGAGGAAGAAGTAAGAAGACAAGGGGTTCAACAATGGCTCTACTTCAGAGAGATTAAGCAGCCTTTACAAACTGAGGCATGTACTTTTTACCCTTTGTAGATATTTGTGTAGTGTAAATCTGTATCCTAATCAGGTAGTTTGCTTTTCATTTGTGTTCAACAATGGCCTCTGAAAAATGGGAGAATGCTTCGGCTTCTCCGTGCTGGAACTTGGAATTCATAAATATCAAATGCAAGCTTTTGAATGCGTATGCAGGAACAATTCCAAATCTCATCAGAGGTGGAGTTATATTTCTAGAGTTCATGATTCTCTGTTGAGGAATGCTTTGGGTGGGGAGAAATATCTTAAGTTATATAGTTACCATTACTTGATTAATGGCTTTTCAGTGCTTATTACACTTCAACAGGTATATCATCAGCCAGTATTCTTCATAATTATCTATCATTTTTTTTCATGGTTTCATTAGCATTGTGAGGCTAAATGATTTGGAAATTTTCTTGTAATTGAGAAATAATGTTGTTAATTAGCTCTATTATTCTATTTCCAAGGCGGACAAGCTTTCCAGGAGAAGAGAAGTTGCAAATGTTGTGTTGGACTTTTCTGTTAAAACTGCAACCACATATACTCCAGAGTTCTTAGGTCTATCAAATGGTGCATGGCCACGGGAAGGCGGATGTGGGACTGCTGGAGAGGGAATTGTGATCGGGTTTATTGATACTGGTATAGATCCAACTCACTCCAGCTTTGCCGATGATGTATCAGATCATCCATACCCTGTTCCGGACCATTTTCTGGCATTTGTGAGGTGACTCGGGACTTTCCTTCCGGATCATGCAATAGGAAGCTTGTTGGAGCACGCCATTTTGCAGCATCTGCTATAACAAGAGGAATATTTAATTCATCTCAGGACCACGCATCACCGTTTGATGGGGATGGACATGGCACGTGAGTGGATATTTACTGGTTTTTATTGTTCTTGTGAAATGTGGACTTATGTTTTCGTAATGTTGAATAATCTGTAATATGTTCCAGACACTTGTTTACGGGGTGACCTGATATTATCGGTCGTGATTCAATCTTCTAATGTTTGACGGTGGATATAATATAAATGCAGGCACACGGCTTCAGTTGCTGCAGGAAACCATGGGATTCCAGTGGTGGTAGCTGGGAACTACTTTGGAAATGCTAGTGGGATGGCTCCTCGTTCACAGTAAGTTACTGAAAATGAGTCTCGGTTACCATTTTCTTTTATATCTATGAATCTTTTTTATAGAAGCAAATGTTCAAACCTATAATTCTCTCAAACGAGCCACCTCTTTAGCCAAACTATCAATCTTTAGAGGTTAAAATAACCTTAGGTTATTATTAGAAAGGACCATAGAATCAAACATATAGAACTCATTTCTATTTGATCATACTAATTATATTGCAATATTTTCCAGTATTGCCGTTTACAAAGCTTTATATAAGAGCTTTGGTGGATTTGCCGCAGATGTGGTTGCTGCCATAGATCATCTCGGTTGCCATATTGGCAAAATTGTTTCTCTCACATGACAGCTGCATGCAAGGTATTGTGTAAAATTTTAGTTGGAACAAAGAAATCTTCTAAGATTGGATTTTCTTGTGACTTAAGCGGAAACATATTTATCAATTCATAAGAATTAAGAATGGAGATAGCACCCTTTCTTTTCTTACTACCATTGATTTGTTGTCTATAATTAATTACTTGTTCGTCATACATTTGCCAGGCTGCACAAGACGGGGTTGACATAATAAGCTTATCAATAACTCCCAACAGGCGTCCACCTGGTATTGCAACTTTTTTCAATCCCATTGACATGGAATAGCTGTCAGATGTAAAGTTGGGTATTTTCGTTGTCCAAGCTGCTAGAAATACTGGACCATCACCTAAGAGCATGTCTTCTTTCAGCCGTGGATTTGTACTGTTGGCTCTGCATCTCATGACAGTGTATGCTAACTCTATTGTCCTTGGAAACAATGTAGCTATCCCAGGAGTTTGACTTGCACATAGGTTTACTTCTCAAATCTATCGCCTTTATTCATACGGGATTATCTGATGGCTTATGAGTTTTTGGTTTTTTATGTGTGCTTGAAAGTTAACATGCACGGTATGTGTTGCTCGGGTTGATTGTTGTTACTCTCACTCCTTAAACTTATAACTATTGGTTCGATTCTTATATACCAAAACTTTGGTATTGTTGATTTTATTCCAAGCACCTATTATTACTAAAAACAGATATATAATAATTTGGTTTCTTTGTTTTTCTGGCAGCGGGTACAGATATGGATAAAATGTATACACCGATTTCTGCGGTTCATGCACTAAGCAATGAAGCTATATACTTGCCAACGATATGTATGTGAGTGAATGCCATGACTCCAGTAACTTTGATGGGGAACTTATCCAAGGAAACCTGTTAATATGTAGCTATTCGATCCGGTTTGTGCTTGGGCTCTCCACAGTCAAGCAGGCCTTACAAACTGCGAAAAACCTTAGTGCAGCTGGAGTTGTGTTCTACATGGATCCTTTCGTAATCGGTTTTCAGCTTAATCCAACACCACTGAATATGCCTGGCATCATAATTCCTTCATCAAATGACTCCAAGGTTTGATTATGTATTTTCCTTTTCATGATAACATTTGTGAATTACTTGTTCTTAATATCTTCTTTCTTTTTTTTTTTTTAATGTCAATAATGAAGATTTTACTACAATATTACAATTCTTCTCTGGAAAGAGATGGGTTCGGGAACATTATTAGATTCGGCGCAGTTGCAAGCATTTCTGGTGGACTGAAAGCAAACTACAGCATTTCGGCTCTGAAGGTTATGTTTTATTCTGCCCGAGGGCCAGATCCTGAAGACAGTTTTCTAGACGATTCGCACATAATGAAACCGAACTTGGTTGCCGCTGGGAAATCTATATGGGCTGCCTGGAGTTCTCTTGGCACAGATTAAGTTGAATTCCAAGGTAATAGTTAAAGAAACGATAGATAACTCAGATTATGATTCGATATCATCTAAATTTGTTATTAAAATCATTAACTTGACATTTTAGGTGAAAGCTTTGCGATGATGTCTGGCACAAGCATGGCAGCTCCTCATATTGCCAGTCTTGCCGCACTGATAAAGCAGAAGTTTCCTCATTTCAGTCCTGCATCCATTGCTTCAGCACTTTCTACAACGGAATCTCTTTACGACAAAAATGGAGGTCCGATAATGGCTCAGTGTGCTTATGTGAATCCTGATATAACCAGTCCCCGGCAACACCATTTGACATGGGGAGTGGCTTCGTAAATGCAACTTCAGCTCTTGATCCGGGTCTAATCTTCGATACCAGTAAGCCAGTTTGAGCAAATGAAAATTATTATGACCATTCTATAAACTTATAGCATCTCATTCTAATCCCATCAAGTTCTTACTTGTTGCATCATATGAGGAATATATGTCCTTTCTTTGCGGCATTAATGGCTCGAGTCCTGTGGTCTTGAATTACACCGGTCAAAACTGTCAGCCCTATAACTCTACCGTCACTGCTGTCGACCTGAACTTGCCTTCAATCACCGTTGCAAAACTGAACCAGTCTAAAACAGTTGAAAGATTGGTGACTAACATTGCCGGAAACGAAATGTACGAAGTCCGTTGGACCACTCCTTCCGGGGTTTCGATGAAGGTCACTCCAACTTGTTTCTTCATTAGCACGGGGGAGAAACAAGTCTTAACTATAACCTTTAATGCAACGACAAACGACTCCGTCCCCAGCGTCGGGTGGATTGGACTTTTAGGAGATGGAGATCATAACCACAACATACCATTATCAGTCATTGTAAAGTTTTCCTACAATATGACTAATGGCCGAGGATTGAGATAGATAGTTGCTTTATAATCTGCCTTTTGCCTTCGTCTTAGCTTATGGCTTAACCATCAACCGAGATTATTTCATTCACTACTCTGTAAATGTCAATCATTTTGTAATCAAAATTGATTAAATATCCGCCTAAGCGTTATTCCGAATCTTATTTTTCTCGTGCCTTGCACATATTTAGATATCTGTACAGAGATATAATCTTTTAAGGACATTCAAAATGTGGATAAACCAAAAAAGTTGAAAATTCATATGGATAAACCCTGGTTGTAATGGAGGATGCTCAGGAGCAGCAAATTTAATCACATGTTAACTTTCCAAGTCTAGTATGAAGTGTTGAATCTTGGTTCATTTTTTTATTCAACATGTCGGTGAAGCTATAATTAATCGTTGCCTTAAGTAACCACGACGGACGATATACCTGGCTACATATGCAATGGGGGAGTTCGAGTTTTCCGGCCATGCCATCGTGGTTTGTATGGAAATCAAATATAATATTTATGACTTCGGAGTTTCAGGATATAAGCCTAAGAACTAACACCCACCCTTTAATGGGCTAAGACTCGCGGTTTTATGTATTGCAGGCAGGACCGGATGAAGGATCCTGTTGCCATTGTGATTTTGCTTTTGTCAATGTTACAGGTTGCAAAGGTCAAGGTAAAGTTTCAGCTGAGGTTCTTAAGATGATACATGCAAAAGGAAGCTGCATATGTGCTATATTATGTTATTCTAAAGCCGTCCTTTTTTCCCTTTTCAAAGCATGATATTTTGTGTAGTTGAACATTTTGTGCCAACTGGTTTCGATGTTATTGATTGTTGGTTCAAATCCCAACATTTGCTACTTCTAAAAAAATACTGATCATCACAATGCCTGCCTGTGCCAGACTGCCATATGGAACAGGAACTGGATCGGCCGTTAAAAGAATCAGCATGAGATTCCAATAATCAAAGCTGAATAACTACTCCCAATAAGAATCAACTACCAGAACTATATATTTTTCCAAATGTGCTGTTCATCGACATGTTTTACGGATCTCCTTTGTCAATGTTTCATATGCTACTTGGCATTCGGCACTTTGTGCATCGCTGCTGAGTATCCTACGCATCATTTTTAACTCTTCAGGACTTGCCTTCTTGAAAAGTCCTCTTAGAACTACCTCTACTTCTTCATCAACAGAATGGTAGCTGGGATCATCTTGATCTTGCGTTCTCAAATCAACACCAAAAAGTTTTGCTTTTGATTCGCTAATTGAGCAACTCAATCTAAGTGAGTACTTTTTAACTTCATTGTTAACACAAGTAGTCTTGTGATTCCAGTACTCCAAGCATTGATGATATGGATCAAGAGCTTCAATTGCCTGGAGAAAAGCAATTTATCAAGAGATAAACAACCGAATTTAGACATCACAACTAAATTTGATAAATGAAAACACCAATGCTCGTTTTATTAGACAAATTCATGCTTGCATGTGTGTATGTTCTATGCAAACTTTCCATACTATCAGTCCTATGGCCTTACCATGTTCGAATACATTTGACAATATCAAAAAAAGTTAGATAATTATTGATTGTTGTGAATAAAGTACGATGGAAATGGCATGCTACTATGTTCTTCCATCTCTTCGGATATAGTTATATGTCTGACATGGGTATGTTCGATTTTTTACTAAGTTTTCCATATATCTGGAGGATTCTTGAAAGTTCAAATCTTCCAACTCATGTTGAAATGTGTTGAACATGGGTACCCCAAGAAAAATGAAGAGAAAGGATTGATAAATGACATTTCTGTTTATGATCATTCATCATATTTGCTAAGTCATATTCCACATCATGATGAGAACCATACGGATCATATTTGGCTATCTCAGGCATTTTACTCAGATATTTGTTAGCTAAAAAATGTTTCCAGTTTATAAAGGCAGCAATACCTGAACTATTGGTGGTGAAAAAAATCCAAACATTTCGAGCCCATTGATGCTCTGCGGCAATTGCAAAGGAAGTAGCCCACTTTCCCCCAGGTTTCTCCTCTTCAGAATTTCTTGATTTAGTTGCTGAAGCACCATTTGCCAACATTTGTCTGCCGACATGTTTGAGAATGTTATGGAAGGACAGCCTTCTAAGGTAACCTGAAATATAAAATAGAGATGTGAGGTTAAACTCATTGACACATCTCCATTGACCAATCATGGTCGTTAGAAAGCTCTCTCCAAGCAAATCTTTATACCTAAATTAGTAGACAAACAAGAGGTAATCTCACCTTAAATAGAGGTCCAAGGAGCCCAATATTTAAGACTTCAGAAATGTAGCTAGAAATCTCTGTTGGGTTGAGCACATTAAAGTACTTGACACGGCTTGTAAACCCTGTAAAAGTGAAGGATGAATGCAAATTTTTAAAATGCATCTACCAGCAAGAAAGAAACTGTGAATTTTAAATAGAACGAAATTGGATCCAATTCCAGTTTTACGTACCTTTCGGGAATATGGCCTGGCTACTGCACCATAGTTTTCCAAATATAATGGATCCAAAATTTATAGGTTCAACAGAAGGATTCAACAACGGATGACATTGGCCAGCCACAGATGCAATTACATCTGAGCTGTTGACTGTTTCTGCCTTCAGTAAGGTATTTGATTGTCCAGCACTGATATGCGGAAACTGAAGCTCAATGCCAAACAATTTGTTGCCCTCAAAGCCATTAGAATCCTGATGACCCGTTGAAATTGAATGCTGATACTTGATGGAATATTCACAAGAAACCGATGAGCTACAATCACTCTTGAGTCTCTTTAGAACAGGTTCGCTTACTTCATTGAATCCACAAATTTTCTCTCGTGAAAATGTTTCAACATCAGGAATACTGTTGTTATTGGAGCTATCAGAATCGCACAATGACTTCCTTGCAGGATAATCGGATATAATATCAAGATTTAAGTCAATGCAGGTGTCCTGCTCAGAGTTCGTTCTTTTTTCCACGACAACTCCTACATTTAAGACCTTGTTATGAGTATCCACGGCGACAAGAGGGGCTTTTAATTTAGGCTGGCACTCTGACGGCAATACTTCTGAAGAAAAAAGTCCATGTGAGCAAGGAGCGTTAATATTCACCATTTCTCCCACTCTCGAGGAACGAGAGAAACTTTCCCTTACTTGAGCAGTTTCAGTTTTTAATATCTCACCATCCTCAACCAAGTTAGATACATAAGCATCACAATCGTTATCAGAAACCAACCCAAGATCTCTGGATGCCCATAGTTTGACAGCATCTAATCCACCCTCCAGGGCTTTGACTAGAATTTGCAGTTCATCAACGGTATAGCGAAGCATGACAAATTTGTCTTCAACTTGGCATGAGCAGAAATCCTTTACATGTTTCAGGCAAGCAAATCGTTTGGGAGAGCATTTGCAGCTGCAGGCAGATAAATGCAAGTCATAGAAACAAGAGAAACATTCCCTCTCACTTTCCAAATCAAAGTCTTTTTCCATCTTTCGTACAGGTATATAAGGTGGAAGGCAATTTACTCTTTCTTCTTCCATCTGCTTTCTCATCTGTCAACAGTCATAATTTGCATATATTAGTGCACATAATGACATAAGTTTTTTACTTCTCATGTGAATATTTATAATTTACACAAGTTTTCTTAGAGGGAGAAAGAGGAGACTCTACCCTAACTGCCTCTGTAAGCATCCCGTCCTTCCCACATACACTTTTCCACCTCAAGTTTCCTGGAGTTTCATTGCCAAGAACATGTAACTCCCTGAGAGCTCGGATGGCTTGCCGTGCTGAACCGAGGAGCAGCTTGTCATGGGACAGTGATATCTTGCGATGCTGCTCACTGTAGAGCTCAACTGCAAGCTGGCCATTTTCTAGCCAATCAACAGGAGCAACATTCACTGCCTCTGCACAGTTGAAGCCACAATTAAATCCTGAGTGGTACGCCCTCGGGAAGGTAAGAACAAACTCCCCCGAGTGTTGTACGACTCGATAGACAGGTACACCCTCAGCTTTCAGAATTGAAGGAGATAGTTGAGTAACCTGCCCAAAGGTGAATCAAAACATAAAGAAAATCCTACTGGCACGTGATGAAAATAGGCTACATGAAGAATTTGAATTCTAATTTAAGAATACAGGTAAAAGAAAATATATTTCTCACCAATTCATTAAGTAAGTCAGGTTGTTCTTCAAACAAATCAGGCAAATGCTTTCTCATTGCAGCTTCCAAAGATGAAGCATGGTTCCCGGGAACTCCATACCATATTTTTGGATCACCAAAGTGCATATAGTTTAGTGAATACAGATGGTGGTCCTCAACATGCTGTTTAAACCATAATACAGTATAAATGAAAAAAGGTAACAAAAATTAAGGAATGAAGCATCATTCAAGTTATCGAAAAGGGATTCTGAATCTACAATTTTTTTCAGTAAAATTATTTTGTACGCTTATAGTAACAGAACGATATTCCGAAATTCAGATGTAAAACACAAAAGAATACAAAGCATAATTCAAGTTAGTGAACATGTTTCTAGTATAAGATTGCATTGCAAAAGATGTAATTTATAGAGTAATTTGCAACTAAGAAACCATAGACCACCTACAACAAAACAATAGAGCACCATACTGCCCGGCAAATTCAAAACTGAGTTTATGACTTATAAGAAGCATGTTGTACATTTCTAAAAATGTTAACAAAATCAAGAATAGACAGTGCTGTCTACCAATATCATTTATAAATACAAAAGATATATCCTTCTGTCATTTTAATCATGTGATCAAAGAGGAACGCTATTCTAGCAGTTTTTATGCCTTACCCAACAAAATGATGAGAAGCACATCCCCACATAGAGCCATGGTACTAGAACTCCAGATATATCACATCCTTCAAAAGATAACACTGAACCTTGTAGGCGCGGGAAATTATTTAGGTTCCAACCTGACATTGCATATTTATCTGTATCATTTCCGGTTAACATAGATGACGCCTTAGGAAAGCCACTGCAAAATGTTCCTGTTTCCAAGTCAGCTCCATAATATACCTGAAATATGAAAGCAAAATCCAGTAGAAGTAAACAGAGATTTCTATGAATGGAATCTTATAATATACAGGAGCAATGAGATGAACATACTCCTCACCTCAACCTCATCCTTTGGCTGCTCAACTATCCTCCAGTATTCACCTTCAATATCCTCCCAAAACGGTTCCCATTTCCTGCATTCATTCATGCTAGGCTTTAAATCCTCACTACAGTCCCTTTGAAAGTATGTCTCCTTAAATTCATCTGCATATCTCTGGAATTCTTCAAGTGTGAAGTCTGATCCTGAATTAAAGCCAAACTTCTCATTAGTCTCGGAAGTAACAATAGATTCAGAACCAGAATTGGCACATCTTCTAGTGGCTCCCATTCTAGAATGCCTTCTCCGCTTCCGTTTTCGACTTCTACTTTTCTTTCTCATTGGCTCCCTATTTTGAAGTAAATCAACTTGTTGAATTCTTGTAGAAAATTTAGCATGTTCCCATATATCTTTCTCTTTAAGGGGACAAGGTGGTCTCCAAGAAGGTGGTGGAACAATCCGACATATACCAAATGATACAGCTTCAGCATGAATTTTTTCTATGTAGGCAAGTGTGTCTTCAAACTCCTAGTATATAGAACATCATAAATTCTAAGTAAAATATTGAAAAAAGAAAACTTTGACATCATGTCTTTACTCTTAAAAGATAAAATTACCTCAACAGTTGGATAGAACACTGGAGCATCATCAATCTCAGGCCTGTATGGTTCATCTGGATCCCATCTTGCTGACACCTAAAATATACCATCAATCATCTCATTCATCAAGCAATAGAATTAAGAAAAATATAGCCGCGGGGTTTTCAGATGGTTTCACACTAAACAATGTAAATCAATGTGGAACACTTTAAATAAGATAATTATCTTTCTGATTGCCAAAGTGTCACCAAAACACTTCCGCGAATACATTTATAACGTTGGTATTTCAGATATCATGAGAAATTTTTCCTCCACTAACTTTCAAAATACACATACTGAGACTAAAACTACAAATGATTGCTGTCAAAACCTATGCAGGAAACATAGATCTTCTTGGATTCAAAATGCCTACTTTAGATGTTGCTTTTTTACCAAAAACAGAAAAGTCATTACGGCCAAGCTATTGCAAGAAGTACAACATATATGTTCACACAAAGGAGTCCTGCAAATAACTTACCTTTCGATGACGAGGACTGCCCGAGGGCTCAAGACTATTATCTCTTTTCATGGAAAGTTGTGAAGAATGATCCTGCAAACCATCTTTTGTTAGGAATTCACATATTTTGGTTTGCCCGAACCAGACAATCTAAAATTAAGCACATATATAATAGTGCATTGCAAATAACATAATATGACCCAATTAAACAATATTTGTGTACAAATATCGATACATGCATGCACTTTTGGAAACAGAGAAGATAAGCATATCAAACAGTCTAGGTACAACTCCTTCAGTCTACACAAACATCATACATCACCAACCAGCATATATAGATAACAAAAATGGAAAATCACCCAGTTCTAGCACTCTTTAAATCTCATCCTCGGCAATAGATACTTGATTAAGTTGATCATAGGCAATTGCAAAGAGCTGCTTTCAACCAAGTTAAGAAGGATGGCAAGAATATCAAGTTTTACTATAGGAATGAATAGCCATTGTCGATAGAAAGTTGTGATTTACCCCTTTACTCAATCATGAATAGGATTTTCTGAATAGCCTATACTACTTCCCCCCACCACCCCACCAATGCATTACTAGGGATTTAAAAACCAGAATTGATTCATTTAGGCCTAGGGAGGTTTTTAAACGAGGCCCCTAGCAATGAGTAATTATTCCAATGAATAAGAATCTTCTTTATCAAAAAAAAAAAAAAAAACAGATTGATTCTAAATTAACCATAAACTTTGTAAACATAAAATTATTCTACATAATTTCCAAGTGAGAGATTATGAATTCCTAGAGAAATCTCAACGTATAATGGGGGGAAATCTTTTTGAAGCAATTCCATCTAGCAATGAAAATAATAAGAAAAATACATAACAGAATCAAAACTAATAAGTTAGTTAAACGAGGGTATGAAATCTCAAGAACAATGCTTTCCTAGGGCTCTGAATGTGAACAGAATATGTATATTAATTCCAACTTTTCGAAACAAATTAATGAAATTTAATCAGCATTGATCATAAAAAGGGTTCGAATTAGCTATTTAATTGATCCAATGACCAAAAATCAAAACTTCCCCAGACAAAAAAACAAAATCAGAAAAAAATAACACGGGAAAGACCCAATTACTCATAACCGGATCTGCACATTGAAAACATGGAATCAGGTATATAAAATAAATAAAAAGAGGGAGAGAAACTAACCTCCATCAAATGAGAATTTGGTGCTATTTTCAACTGTTCCATTCAATTATGAAAAGGGTAAAAAAAAATATTTGATAATAAAAAAAATCTTTTCCAGTTAAATTGTTTTCGTTTTTCTCTCTAAAGAAACAAAATTTTCCACCCTAGCAAACAGTTTCTGGTTTTATTTCGCTAAAGAATCAAATCAAACCCAAATCACATTCCTTTTCTGTTTAAATAGTAAACATAGCATTAAAGTTTTGTAGTTCAATTCCAGAATGGAAACGTTCTTGATTTCTTTTTTTCTTTTTACTTTTAGTTTCATGATAAATAAAAATATTCTTTTTCTCTGAATATTATTAACTAAAAAGGTCTCCTTTTTCAATTTTAATCAAATAGATATTTGACTTGGTAAACCATTTTGAAAGATACATATGGAGTAGGATACTAATACTAATACTAATAATAACAAGATAAATAAAGAATTTCTTTCAGAAAGGGAAAAGGAAGAAAATTAGAGAAAATAAAATATCTGTCTGAGATTATTCTTTCTTTCTTTTTCCTTTTATTTTATTGATGATAAAAGCTTAAATTCCAACTAGAAGTCTAGAAGTATGTTTTTTTGGGTAAATTACACCAAATTTCATTCAGCTTTAGGGTTTATATCAATCTTGTCATAAAATTTTAAAAATATTTCAATTTTAGCATTGCAATTTTGTTTGGCTTAATATAAGCATCAGATCACTAAATCATTAACGACATAATGATAGTGTCCATTTTCTTGTGAATTTTTATCTTGTGTATCAACTTTGTCATTAAAATTTAAAATATTTTAATTTTTTAAGTATTGAACTTCAATATACATATCATTTTGATCCATGTGGACAAATGTCAATTTCTTCAATTATCATTGTCAGTTAATCATTTCCTATCACCGGTTATCATTCATGGTAAAATCAACACCAACACATTCATATTTCAATCTTCTTTCTTCTCTTCAATTGGTTTTTCGATAAAACCTACTTAAAATCGACAAAAAACAATATAAAAATTATACAATCTAATACTTTGATTTCCTTTGATGAATTACAATGATGGATGGAAAGCATGCTCAACGTTGACATGTGCCCACCTTGAAATTCAAATTTTTTTATATTAGTTGTCAATTTTATTATTGATGCCCACCCTGAAATTTTATTTTTGCCCACCTATTCAAAAATTTTCAATAATTAATATATGTATGCCCACCCTCAAAAGTATTTCTGGATCCACCACTAACGAATAGTTGTTCAATGAAGTTAGAATTAAAGTATGATACTCATCTACTTGAAAGAATATTTTTCATCATTCAAATTTTCTAACAAACACAATAAATCCCTTAAGTTTGAGAAAGCCCATAAACACTCAAAAAAAATTATAGATTACACGTGAGTAACTTGACAAGTTTTAAAGAGATTTTGAGAAAATATAAATCAATAAAACGATAGAAGATTGATAAGTTGAGTTTATCAATATTTAGGGTAACTATGAAATATGATAGAAAATGACAATTTTCAACAATGACTAAAAATGAGTAAAAAAAACCCTTAACTTTAATAAAAAGATGATGAAGTGAAATAAATAGCACCATATCATCACGTCATCTGGTTACTGATTTGATAATCCCAATATTTACTTTAAGGCCAAAACTAAATTTTAATACTAAAGATAAGCCAATATTTTAAGACTAGTTTTATAAAATCAAAATTTTTTGATGGGAGGTTTTTAAAATATATTTTTCATATTTTTATTTACAACAAATTTTAAATAATAAAAAGTTAAAGGAGAAAATTTGATAAAAATAGTCAATAAAAAACAGTTGTAGTGGGACTTTCATTTTAGTTAAAATGAAAAATAATTAAAAATGTTTAATTATGCCCACAATCTATGTACTCTTCGTACTTTTAAATTCAGTCTCTCCACTTTTATTTTGATAAATTTTCCCCTTTTATTTGTTTAATTTGAAAATTAAAGCTCAATTGATAAGCATTAATTGATTTTTATTACATTTGAAAACTTAGCAACTTTAACATTCAATACTTTGATAAGAATCAAACTTCAATTGGACTTTCATTTTTAAATCAATTAAGTGAATTATTGAAACTAAAAATAAGGGACTAAATTATAAAGTCCAAAGAGTATAGAGCAGAAAAACTTACTGAGCAAAGGAAAGTTTAATTAAAGGCTAAAATACAAATTTCATCACTAAACTTTAATCTCTTTCCTATTTTGCTCATTGAACTTTAAAATATTTCAATTTTCTCACTGAACTTTATACATTGGGTTTTTTTTGTCACACCGCTGTTAAATAGTTAATGGCGTGAAAACGATACCGTTTTAAAAGAATAAATTTTTCACCAAAAACAATGTCATTTTTCATTTATATAACAACCTATTTATAACGCTGTTAGTGAGTGAGGAAACTACTGAGTAACCAAAAAAATTCAATGTAATAAATTAGTGAGAAAATTTAAAGTACAATGAGTAAAATAAGATACCATTAATTAAAATGGTAAATGGAAAGATAGGTAGGATGAAAAGAAGGTTGGGGTTAAAGAGGAACTCGGATCCAAGGGCGTTTTTATTATAAAAAACCCTTAAAATTCATTTATTAGAAAATGACCCCAAAAAGAATTATTTGGAAAAATAACCCTCAAACTACCTATGTAGAACTACCTCGTGTTCTGCAAAAAGCGTAAAATGACTCAGCATTGTATAGGGCACAAGACCCGTCTGACCTAGAAGCACTTTACAGAACGCGAGGTTTGTGCATTTTCAGCCCACATTACAAGTGTTTATAGGCATGTTCAAGAAGTATATTTAGGTACTTAATTTAAAAAATTTCGTAATTTATAAGATTAGATGCGTATTATTGGAATTTATCTTTCAGTTGAGGTCAATATCGACACATACGAGATATTGTAAATGGGGTAAAAATCGCATTGATATTAGTTTTAAAGCTTGTTTTGTGCATGAAGAAAATCTAAAATGGTTTGATATGTATATTTGAGGGGTATTTTTGGGTAGTTAATCTGAAAATTTTCATAATTTATAAGATTAGAGGCGTAATATTAGAATTTATCTTTCAGTTGAGGCCAATATCGACACATATGAGATATCTTAAGTGGGGAAAATGGTTCTAAAGCTTGTTTTGTGCATGAAGAAAAAGCTAAAATAGTTTGATAGGCATATTCGAGGGGTATTTTTGGTAGTTAATCTGAAAAACTTTTGTAATTTATAAGATTCGAGGCATAGTATTGCGACTTATCTTTCACTTGAGTCTAATATCACATATATGAAACATTGTAAATGGGGTAAAAATCGCGTTAAATACGCTTCCAAAGCTTGATTTTGTGAATGAAGAAGAAGCTAAAATGGTTTGATAGGCTTATTCGAGGGCTATTTTCGGGTAGCTAATCTGAAATTTTTTGTAATTTATAAGATTAGAGGCATAGTATTGATACTTATATTTCAATTGAGGCTAGTATCGGCACATACGAGATATTGTAAGTGATCTAAAAATCGCATTAAAAATAGTTACAAACCAAAAAAAATTGAAAAATAACGAATATATTTTGTTAATTACTATAACACCCTAAACCCGATTTGGGCCTAAAGGGCCACACTGGACTGCTGAAACAAACCCATAATTTTCAAAAACCTATTCATTTTCTTTTCAAACATACTGAATGATATCATAATAAAACATAAATAACTGTTATAAAAATATTTAACAAAACCGAGACACTGTTATACCTAAATTAAAATCAAATAATACAAACCCAAAGTTTAACAATCGAATACATAAGTAAGATTCTATGAATACATTTTCCCACTTACTACAATACAATACTCTAAAAAGGATTCTAGAAGTCCTGCCATGATGGTGCTCTATGAACTGCATAATTTATTGACCTGCCA